TTGAGACAGGGTCTCCCTGTAGCTCCAGCTGTCCTGGAACTCGCTATGTACACCAGGCTGGCCTTGAACTCACAGAGAGTGCTAGGATTAAAGGCATGCACCACCACGTCCAGCTCTCCAGCCCTTTTAAAAATATTTTTTAAAAAAATTATTTTTATGGCCCAGTGTGGTGGCACACGCCTTTAATCCCAGCACTCGGGAGGCAGAGGTAGGCGGATCTCTGTGAGTGCAAGGCCAGCCTGGTCTACATAGCGAGTTCCAGGTCAGCTGGGGCTACAGGGAGACCCTGTCTCAAAAAGACCAAAAAAAAATTATTTTTATTTTACATGTAGGAGTGTATTGCCTGCATGTATGTGAGTGCACCTGTGTTGTACAATGCCTCGGAGGTCAGAAGAGGGCGTTGGATTCCCCTGGAACTGGAATTAAGAATGGTTCACAGCCTCCATGTGGGTGCTGGGAATTGAACCCAAGTCCTCTGCAAGAGCAGTCAGTGCTCTTAACTGCTGAGCCATCTCTCCAGGCCCTAAAATAAATAAATATATATATATTGGTCTTTTTGAGACAGGGTCTCCCTGTAGCCACAGCTGTCCTGGAACTCACTATGTAGACCAGGCTGGCCTTGCACTCACAGAGATCCGCCTGCCTCTACCTCCCAAGTGCTGGGACTACAGGCATGCACCACCACGCCTGGCTTTAAATTATTTTTAATTTGTGTATGTGTGTGTCTGTGTATGAGTGCCAGTGCCTGAGGATGTCAGAGGTACTGGATCCTTGTGAAGCTGGAGTTACAGACAATTGTGAGCTGCCTAGTATGGGTGTTGGGAATTGAATTCAGGTCCCCTGACAGAGCAGAATGTGCTCTAATCACTGGGCAATCTCTCTAGCCCAACCCCAGCCTCTTTAATCCCAACTCCTGTGTTTTTTCTGCTCTTCCACGTGATTCTGAGCAACAAAGCAGAAATTAGTACCAGGGTTATCAGGGTTAATATCTGTCATCGACCCGTTTTGCTGGGGGTTGAACCCAAGGCTTTGCATCCTAGGCAAGTGCTTTACAGCTGAGCCCCATCCCCATCCTTGCCATACTGCACTGTCACACACATGTCCCCAAGCCTCACTCAGATATTGTCACTGGGCTGTGGCAACCTTGGATCAATCACTTCTGCTAGGCCCAGAAAGTAGCTGTAGTTCTGGGAAATTTCATCCCACCTCTAACTGAAATCTCATCTACTTCTCTATCTTCATTTCCATCTTTTCACATGGTCCCAGAGCCAGGGCTTGACTGGTGCTCTAGGAAGGGAAGTGGTTGACTGTAGCCCTAGAGAAACCAAAACCTGAAGAGGAAGCTGTCTCTTCCCCCTAGACTGTGAGTGAGGGGCAGTGGTAGGGGGTGGTGCTCAAGCAGAAACAGCCTTCCAGGACAGGGCTTAGATCTTCCTTGATATGTGTTATAAACATCAGAAGGGGGGCTGGCAGGGTCATTACAGGGAGCTTCTGGGACGATGGCTGACACTTAAGTAAACTGGGTAAGACGGGAAGGACTGGTGAGTGGGGACTTCCTCACACAAGAGAACAAATAGGTATTGCCAAACCACCATTCCTTCCTCTAAAACAGTTCCTAATCTTTTTGTAACCTGAGGCCTCTGACAGCCGAGGAGGCACCTTTCTGCCTCTTCTCAGAAAAATGTTCTCTCGGTACCCAAAGTTACCTTGAAATGCAGCCTTCAATTATTTTTAAAAGTGTGGTTAAAAACATGAAGTTCTTTGTTAACATTAACTGTAAGAATGAATAGCCAACTCATAACTATTAGGGTTTCAAACAGCCCCCCGCCCTCCCTAACAGGGACCTATGGACTTTTGAAGTCTGAAAAAGGGAACTGAGCTGATAAGCACCTTGGCCTTTGAAGTCAAAGGAAACAAACTCTTCTAAGAAGCAGCCTGCCTCTCCTCTGATCTCCAAAGACAAGATAAGCAGATGCTACCTGTTAACCAGAGATTTTAGGAGCTGTTTAGCACAGCAGCTTTTCCCTTATCTTAAGAGGAAAAAAAAGTAAACACTTCCTGACCCAGATCCTGGCTGGCAGACAGAACAGAGCCAGGTTTACAAGCCCTGCTTTTCCTGCTTCCCCCTGCTTGATTTTTCCCAAAAATTCCCTACCCCCTTCTGCACCCTGAAGCCCCTGTATATAAGTCCCAGCTCACAACCCGTGGGCTGACATTTTCCCTTCCCCAAGGGGAACGTGTCCCGTGTGAAATAAAGCTCTATCCCATTGAGAATTTTATCTGTGTCTTGGTGCCTCAGCCTCCATTCGTTCACTCTCCACCAAATTTTTACCTATCAATAACTACTATAATTTTTTTTTTTTGGTCTTTTTAAGACAGGGTCTCCTTATAGCCCCAGCTGTCCTGGAACTCACTACGTAGACCAGGCTGGCCTGGAACTCACAAAGATCCACTTGCCTCTGCCTCCCAAGTGCTGGAAATTACTATAATTTTTAATTATTTTTTTTAAGTTTTTGTTATTATGAGTATTTTGCCTGCATGTGTGTAAGTGTATCAGTACCATGCAATGTCCTTGAGGGTCAGAAGAGGGCGTCGGCCTGAAACTGGAGTTATAGATGGTTGTTAGCTGCTACGTGGGGGCTAGGAACTGAACTGGGGTCCTTTGCAAGAGTAGCCAGTGCCTTAAACTACTGAGCCATCTCTCTAGCCCCTTACTTTATTTTTTAATTTTTATATATTTGAGTGTATTACCTGCATGTATGTAAGTGCACCTGTGTTGTGCAATGCCCACGGAGGTCAGAAGAGTGCAGTGGATTCTACTGGAACTGGAGTTACAAATGGTTGTTGGCCACCATGTGGGTGCTGAGATTCAAACCTGGGTCCTCTGCAAGAACAGCCAGTGCTCTTAACCAGTGAGCCATCTTTCCAGCTCTTTATTTTACTTTTAAGATTTTTTTTCTTGACCACTGAGGAGACTAATTAACAGAGGGATTTCAGTGACAATAGCAGTGTTCAGGACATTCCTAAGTTCTCCAGACAAGCTAAGCTGCTCTCCTGGGAATAAGGGAATAGACTGCTGCTAGAGGCCCAGGCTGCAGGGTGTAGGACTGGTTGAAAGCCACAGCCCAGCCAGGAGCACTGCAATGTGAAACAAAAAAGAGGCACATGGAAAGAATTCTGCATGAGGCCTCTAGGAGGGAGCCAGCCAGAGAGGACACAACCAGGGCCAAGATTTGACCTTTGTTGTTGAATCCACTTGTCTGTACTAAGCTTATAATGATGCTTATGCCTGATGTCAGTCAAAAGAGGGCCAAGGTTTCAAGGTCTCAAAAAAGACCCATTAGATGAGGGGATCTTCACTCTTTCTCCCTGCCTTTCTCCCACCTTAGGGGAGTGAGTACAGAGGAGGGGCTGCCCCACTCCTCTCCACTCTGTCCAGCTGGACCTGAGATAGGAGAGTTTTTAATGAAACAGGAGGATGGAGGATGGAGAGATGACTCAGTAGTTAAGAATGCTGCCTCAGGTTTAGTGTGGTGGCGCATGCCATTAATCCCAGCCCTTGGGAGACAGAGGCAGGTGGATCTCTGTGTGTTTAAGGATAACCTGGTCTACCTAGTGAGTGCCAGGCCAGCTGGGGCTACAGAGAGACCCTGTCTCAAAAAGATAGGAAAAAAAAAAAAAAAAAGGGTGCTTCCTGGTCTTCCAGAGGATGGGAGTTTTGTTTGTAGAATCCAGGCCAGGTGGTTCACAACTGCCTGTAACTCCAGTTCTTGGGGAGCCCATGTCCTCTTCTGGACTCCTCAGGCATGCACATGCAATACATACATGCACATACACATATATTTTAAATGGAGCAGGGCCACACTTTGGGAACTGGAATGGAGCTGTTATAACAAACATGAGAGAGAAGTCAAGTGATCAGAAAGCCAAACTGGCTACCAGCAGCACTGGGGATAGACAGAAGGAAGAAGCCATCAGACTGGATACCCTCAGGAGGTGGATAATGTTTAGGTACAATCCCAGAGCCTGTGGGTATGTAGCCTTAGAACAAAGAGGGTAGGAGACTGCAGCTGAGGATCTGGACGTATGATTAGCTCACAACCTGCAGATGGGTCCAGTAAAATAAAGATGTTAAAGGTAATGTGCTCAAAATAGGCCAAATTGGGCCAGGCTGGTGGCACATGCTTTAATCCCAGCACTTAGGAGGCAGAGGCAGGCAGATCTCTGTGAGTTCAAGGCCAGCCTGGTCTGCATAGTGAGTTCCAGGCCAGCTGGGGCTACAGGGATACCCTGTCTCAAAAAAAAAAAAAAAAAAAAAAAGCCAAATTGGCATATTGATCATCTGAAGTGGAAATCACTTGAGCTGTAAGGAAAAGGGCCTTGGAGGTGTCCTCCCAGAACACAGCAGCAGCCATGAAGACTCCTTTACTGCCAGCTGAAGGGCGACCCCACCACTTGGGCCAAGTTTTAGGACTGCAGTGGGCCTTGAATAACAAGGCTAGGAAGCTCTTCCCAAGTGTTACCCCCGGGATATCAAGGACACCCCAGAGTTCACTTCCCCTGTCCAGAGAGCCACGCGCCTATCAGTCTCTTCACTAGATGGCCCCAGTTTCTCCATCCCCACAGACACGTAAAGTTTTTCTCATAATCTGTTGTACTAATTAACGTCCTGGATCCAGCCAGGGAGCGCATGGAAGGGCTAATCAGGTGGAACCCTCTCCTTCCATAAACGCAGGGGCCTTCAGGAAGGGAGGGAAAGTCCTAGGAGAGGCACTTGGGAGCCGGGTCCCATGCACCTGGGACAAGGCAAGAACCCTGCAGAAGGGGCAGGCTGGACTTCCCCCTGTGAGCTCTTGGGAGCGCGCTGGTGCCTTGTTAGGCCACTGGGTTAAACAAAGTGAGGTAGAGTAGCTAGGGAAACTCACCCCACACCACACCCCTAGGAACGTGGGACCGCCCACCATCGCCCCCGCAGGTGTGAAGGAGCCTCTGCCCTCCAGAGCTGGGACCAGCCTCTGAGGATAGAGGTTAGCAGACTGCCCCAGGTGACCTGGCTGGGGCTTGGGCGTCAGAATGGGTTCCCCCTGGCCGGGCACCCTCTTCCCTCCAGCCTCAGCTGCATCTCCCAGAGACCAAGGCGGCCAGGTTCCTTCCCTTTTGCAGCAGGACTGGCCGGAGGAAAGAAGCAAGCCGCGTCCTTCTGCCCGCCCATCCTCGTGATGCGGCTGCTCCCAGGCGGGACTTTGTCCAGCGTGGCGACCTGGCCTGGCTGGGGCGGAGACCGGGTTTAGCAGGAGCAGCCGCGGGCTGAGTGCAGCCTCTGCTGCCCTTCCATGAGCGGGACCCGCCGGCTGTGACCCCCTCGCTCCTCTTTCTGCTCCGGGAATGGGGTGCTGACAAGTGCCTCCTCTCCTAGTGGGTGCTTATCCTGGACCAGACGCCCTGGTCCACATCCATCACTGTAGTAGCCGCAACAAGTAGAGGACATAACAGTGTCGCCTTCCTACAGGTGCAGAGAGCGAGCCTGGGCACAGCAAAGGGGAAGCGACCAGAACTCCGAGCAGGTCTGTGTTAAGCCCTAAGTACTCCCAGTCCTGGTCCCACGCAGCCCCCCCACCCCCAACCCTAGGGAGACCGCAGGAGAGAAGGGTGCACAGGCCATGGTGATACCCCAGGAGGAGGTCAGAAGGCTCCAACCTGTCCATCCCAGCAAGAGGAAGCCCAGAGCAGCAGAGCCTTCTGGAAATTTTGAATTACCACTTGTTGGGCTCAAGGGTGCCAAGGAACAAGAATGGTGGGTGGGTTGGGGACAGGGTACTCTGAAGGACAGAGGGGAGTGGGCATTTATTTCTCCTATGTGTTGCCTCCAGGAAGCCCCCACCTTTACCTAGCAGCTGTCACCACTGGGTTCCAGGGTATCTCAGGCTTAGCTATGTATGGAACTTTGCCTCCCTGTGCCTCAGTTTCCTTATCTGCCCCATGGCATTCTGAGTGGTACCTACTTCACAGGATTGCTGAACTAACCGAGTGACTGGGGGCTGGGGGTGGGCTTAGCCTCTTGTCTAGCACAAGGTTACTTTGAGCAATGTTCCTCAAGGCTCATCCTTGCCTCTCTCAAAGAGTCCTGGACTCTCAGCTTCAGGTTGATGGGGACTTTCCAAAGTCTGCAGTATTTTGGGACAGCCCCACTTTCAACTTGAAGCCTCATGACTGAGACCAAGGCAGGGAGCAGAAATGCTGGTCAGGATAGGGTTTTGAAAATTTGGGGGCTAAGACTTGCCCAATTCCAGAGCTTTTAGGCAGCCTCCCTAACCCATGGTTTAGCAAGAAGCACAGACTGTGTCCCCAGACTTCCTTTCTCAGCCAGTGGCAACAGCTTTTATTCTCTATTCCCACCTCCCATTCCATCTAGGCTAGCCGCAAGTTCTGTCCTAAGCACATCCTGAGTCTGCCCACTGTGTCACCACTCTGACACTCAAGTCCAGGCCTCCATCCTCCTTGGTCCTTCCCATGGTGTCCCTGTTGCTCCTCAGCAATTCTCACAAGTGGGGACCCCTGACAATTGCCCCCCACTTTTGGTGGTTATTCTTAATTCTGATCTGCCTGGTTCCTCTGTCTCTACCCAGTCCCTACACTTTTCTCTTGTTTTTGTTCTCAAGGGCCTTTGCTCGCTTTTCCTCTTCCAGGGATGTTCTTCCAACAATCATCTTGGGACTTAAAATTCAGGAAACCCTGTAAATATCACTGTCTCAGGAGCCTGTCCACTCTACCTGAAGGAGTCACGCTGGTCAGCTCTAGCCGTGTTAATGTCCTGCTTTCTTCCACCAGGCGGGCTGGAGGGACTTCGCCCCTGAGTGGTGTTGATGTGAGGCTTGTCTGTTCCCCCAGGTCTCTTCCCCTTGCATTCCCTGAACCCAGCGCAGTGCCTGGCATGGAGAGGAGGTTCAGGTAGTTTGGGACCATTTCCAGCAGAGTGTACAATCTTGAGCTCATTTCTCACTTCTGGTTGCCCAACAGCCTTCTTTCTCCACCTCTGCACAGACCTCTGCATGTCCTCATGTCGTTCCCTCCCTGCCCTCTGCTGCCCTCAGCTTTTCCCCTAGTGAGGCTTTTCAAGGCTTAGCCATACGGTTCTATTGTGCTGCAAACACTGTTGTCCATGGTGTTTTGCTAATGAGTTCTTTGAAATACAGTTTCTAAAATGAAGTGTTTAAGTCAAGGATGTCTGTCTAGGACACTTATCTCCAGCCACACAGGCATGGGCTTTTATAATTTTTGTTTATTTGGGCTAATTTAACAGGAAGTCATGGGAGTTTGAAACTTGTCCCTTTCTGGTGAAGCTGAAAATTTTCCTGTGTTTGCTGCTTTTGTTTCTAGTTTGAGAAGGAAGTGGATTTCCAAGGCGCTGTAATTCCTCATTTTATCTGTACTCGGTTATACTCGGTTTTAAATTTTTTTAAAGTTTTAAATTACATTTGGGGTGTGTGTGTTTGCGTGCAGACATGCACATCAGAGCATGAATGTGGAAGTCAGAGGACAACTTGTGGAAGTCAGTTCTCACTTTCCACTGTATGGGTCCTGGGGAATCAAACTCAGGTCATCAGGCTTGGCAGCAATCACCTTTACCTGCTGAGCCATCTCACCAGCCCTTCGCTGCACTTGTGAAGGTTCCACTTGAGCCCATCTCCCAGCTCCGGGTGAGATGGGCTGGATGGCTTTACGGGAGCACACAGCTGAACTGTGCCAGCAGCTACAGCTGCTGAGATTTTTGACAGTCCTGGCAGGCCGAAAAGAGAGAAGGGACTCCTGAGGGAGTGAGTTTTTGAAGAGGTTCAGTCTTTAAATACTTTTTTCAAATGATAAAATTTTACTCTTGTAACTATAAAAGTAACTTAAGGGGTTGAGGAGACAGCTTAGTTGGTAAAGTACTTGAGGACCTGGGTTCAATCCCAGTACTTACATAAAAAGCCGTTCAAGATGATGCATGTCTGCAATCTCAGTGCTGGAAGGTAGAAACAGGAGGATTCCTGGGGCTCACTAGCCAGCCAAATCTAGTCAAATTGGTGAGCTCCAGGCACAGTGAGAGACCTTGTCTCAAAAAAAATAAAAATCAGGCGGTTGAGAAAGACACCTGATATTGACCTCTGGCCTCTACTTGTGCATGCATGGGCAGGCACACTCACATACACAAATGTGTACAAACATACAAATAACTCAAGGTGCATAGTTACTCCTTGGAACTCTGGTGCAGGAAGAGCCTGGGAAATACCCTCTGTGCTCTCCAACAGTGAGACACTGCATCACCACAGGGGAGTCACAGGCATGATGGTGCTGTCCCTAGGGACTGAATCTCCTTTGGCTGCAGCAGGAACCACACACCTGGCAGCTTCAAACAGCCCCGTCTATTATCTCACAGTTCTGTGGGTCACCTGCCTAAAATCGGCCTCCATGGTCCAAATCAAAGGACTGCCAGGGTGTCTTCCTTCCAGAGGCTCCAGGGAGTGTCTGTGTGCTGTGTGCCCTTGCCAGCTTTTAGGGATACACACACCACACACACTGGCCTCCCTCCCAGTAGGCTTCTTCATCCCTCTGCTTGCAGCTCCTCCACCTTCACACCTCTGCCTCTTAGACCCTCCTGATTACAGCGGGTCCATCTGGGTAGTTCACCATCGCGTGTGGGGACACAGGTGATAGTCCCAGGTTCAAGGAACAAGGACCCGGGCACTCTGAGGACTGTTATTCTGCCTATCCCTTACTAAAAAGGAAATAAGCAAGGTTCAGAGAAAGGAGTGTGGCACTCACATTTGTGTAGGTAAAAAAAAAAAATTGAAGGGGAGATTATACATGTGCCTTCCATGTGATGTTAGAGATAATTCCAGAAGGCTGCTGGTCAGACTGGCTGTGTCTGGGAAGGAGGCCTGGGTAGAGAGAGACTGGTTTATTATCAGATAGCTTTTCATATTATTTAAAATTTTTACTGTTTAACTTTGTCATCTATGTTAAAAATAATTTTGAGCCAGGTGTGGTGGTGCACACCCGTAGTCCAAGCACTTGGGAGGCAGAGGCAGGCGGATCTCTGTGAGTTCAAGGCCAGCCTGGTCTACATAGTAAGTTCCAGGACAGCTGAGGCTACAGAGAGACCCTCTCTCAAAAAAGACCCCCCCCAAAAAATAATAATTTTGAAAAGTCACACATAGTCATTGTAAAAGTTTAGACTTTCCAGAAGCAAAGAGAAAAAAAATAGCTGCCCATGTCCAAATTTCTCCTGTTTTTTTTTTTTTTTTTTCGTCTTTTTGAGACAGGGTCTCCCTGTAGCCCCAGCTGGCCTGGATTCACTATGTAGACCAAGCTGGCCTTGAAGTCCCAGAGATCCACCTGCCTCTGCCTCTCAAGTGCTGGGATTAAAGGCGTGCACCACCACTCCCTGCCCAAATTTCTCCTTTTAAAAACTGTGTGTGTATGGGGGCTGGAGAGATGGCTCAGTGGTTAAGAACACTGACTGTTCTTACAGAAGACTGGGGTCAAATCCCAGCACCCACATGGCAGCTAACAACTGTCTGTAACTCCAACAGCCTCTTCTGTCCTCTGCAGGCACTGCACGACACAGATACACTTATCTACATGCAGACATAACACTTGTACACATAAAATAAAAATAATAAGTAAAATATTTTTTTAAATGTGCGTGTGCATGTGTGTGTGTGTGTGTGTGTGTGCATATGTGTATGTGTGTTTATGAGAGTGCCATGGTACACATGTGGAGATCAGAGGACAGCCTGAGGGAGTTCTCCGTCCATGGTGTGGGTCCCAGGGATCACACTCAGGTTGCCAGGCTTGCATGGCAAGTGCTGCTGAACCATCTCATGGGCCCCTAAGCTTCTCCTTTTCACTAAAGAATAGCCCCTAGCCTGGTATGGTGGTGCACGCCTGTAGTCCCAGAACTAGGGGGGCAGAGGCAGGCGGATCTCTGTGAGTTCAAGGCCAGCCTGGTCTACATAGTGAGTTCCAGGACAGCTGGAGCTACAGGGAGACACTGCTTCAAAAAAGACGTGCTGTTAGCCCTATAATACTTTGTTTTTGGTCTTTTGAGACAGGGTCTCTCTGTAGCCCCAGCTGGTCTGGAACTCACTATGTAGACCAGGCTGGCCTCCAACTCACAGAGACCCACCTGCCTCTGCCTCCCGAGTTCTGGGATTAAAGGCATGCTCCATCATGGATTTAAAGTTGTTTTTAAAGTGTGTATTTTTTCCACATAGATAGGTTGCCCCATGGGGACCGTATTGTGCCAGGATTTTCTGTTTCCCTTTTTACATCCATATACAAAGACTGGACTAGTGTCTCCCAGGCAACATGCCTCTTCTCCAGCAGACCCCTTTGGGAACATTCAAATCCCTGGTCTTTAGAGCAACCCTAACACCTTGATGCCATCTCTCTCTGTCTTTGAAGTTGACTTGAAATTCAAATCATGGGGTAAACTGAACTATGTTTACAATCCTGTAGCATTTAATACAATATTGTGTGCCCATCAGGCCCCCATCTGTATCTATTTCCAGAACATTCTCATTCCCATGAAGCAGGCACCCCACACCCTTCCTTCCCCCACCCCTGGCAACCCCGATCTGCTTTCTGTCTCCTGGAATTCTCATCAATGTGAATCACACAGTATGTAACATTTTAAAAATTACATTTATTTGTTGTATTTATATGTGTGTACACATGCATGCCACAATATACATGTGGCAATCAGAGAACAAACAACCTGTTGGGAGTTAGTTGGGGTTACAGGGACCAAAGAGCCACCTCATCAGCCTCCACCCTTTTTTGTAGTCCAAGCTGACCTTGAATTCGTGATCTTCCTGTCTCAGCCTCCTGAGTGCCTGGGTCACAGTGAATGCTTCTGCACAGGATTCACAACTGCCCTAATACAGCACTTGAGCAGATAGATGTTCATTAGTATTTCCAATTGTTTGAGTGTACCAGGTCTCTTGCCCTTCCAACACATTTTGTGCCTTTGCTCTTTTCAGACCCTGGTAAAACTAACCTGTGAGAACAAATTGTGAAGTGCAAGCTTGGTCACAAAAGGCTGCGGGTTTGACTAGCGTTCTCTCTCTAGTTGTCTGAATCCTGAGACTGAAGAATGGCCTCCCATGATGAAAAGGTAAATCCCCCTTGGTGGTCCCTGGGGTGAGAGGAGAATTCTGTGGGTTTTTCCTACAGGCCAGAGAAAGCCCTGCCCAGGGTATCCTGCCATGCCTGAGGACATGGAAGGAGAAATTACCTAAGGTCTTCACAGAACCCCAGAGGCATGGGAAGTGGGGTCCACCAAGCAAATCCTGACCTTGTAGTTTAAAAGCCATGAATCAGACCCTGTCTGGGTGTGGTACCACACACCTGTAATCCCAGCACTTGGGAGGTGGAAGCAGGAGGACCAGGAGATCAAGGATAGTTGTGTAAGGAGTTTAGACTTTCTAGAAGCAAAAAGAAAGAAAATAGCCCCCTGACCCCCATACACAAATTTCTCTTTTTCTCCTATGGATAATTCTTGGATATGACTATCCTTATGGTTTAAAGGTTCTTTAAATTTTTTAATTGCATTTTAATTTATTTTGTGTGTGTATATGCATATATGTGTAGGTATGCCCACGCCACTGTGTGTGTGTATGTGTGTGTGTGTGTGTGTGTGTGTGTGTGTGTGTATGTGTGTGTACAGCCTATGAGAGTCAATTCTCTGTACCATATGGGTCCTGGGGATGGAACTCAGAGCATCAAGCTTGGCAGTAAGCCAAGGTTAGAGGACAACTTGAGGGAGTTGGTTCTCTTCCCACCATATGTGTCCTGGGGATCAAATTGAGGTTGCTAGGTTCACATGGCAAGTGCCTTTCCCCATTGAGATATCTTGCCAGCCTAAAGTTGTTTTTAAAGAAGATCAGAAGTTCAAGGTCATTATCAGCTACATAAGGAAGGTATTCAAGATGAGCCTTAGCTATTTCAGATACTGCTTTAAAAAATAATAAAAATAAGCATAAGTCCACTCCCCTTTCCCTCATCTAGCCTCAGTTTTCTTGTCTGTAAAATGCCAAAAAGGCCCTTTACCAGTCCCTGGATGGGTGGGTCCAACAAGATAGTGGTCCCTGAATGCCTGACAAATGCTGAGTCCATTCAGGCCTTCCATTGCCAGCCCATTTTACAGTAAAGAAACCTGGTACAGAAGCCTAAAGCCTCTTGGTCAGGATCACACAGGAGGCTGTGGCAGAATTGGATTTTGGCTTGGTCATACTCAGAACACTTTGGCTCCTGTGTCATTGGTTATGGAGATGGGACTGATACACTGACTTGACTATCAAGGGCATGGGTGTTTGGGTTTGGGGGACATCAGTTGTGAAGGCTGGGGGTTGAGTGGGGAGGATTTCTGGATTCCCTTTCCACTATTCACATGGAAGGTCTGAGGACCTGGCCAGGATGAGTCCAGGGGGATGTTAGAGGCTCAGGGCAGCAGTAGGTTTTGGTCAAAGGAACCTCGGGGCCAATTTGAGGGTGCTCAGGATGCTGGTATTTCTTCATCTAGTAGCCTCGGGACTTGCCCAAGTTAGGCCTTCCTGAGTTCCAGATGTGACTAGGAAGAACATCAGCATGGAAGAAAGGCAGATGGACAAGGCAGACACTTCCTTGTCAATTATGAAAAACAAATACACTCAGAAATGCTTGCTGTGGGTTGGACCACAGTGAATCAGCTCTTGGGTACCAGCTTTCCAGTACCTATCCTGGGGCTGGCTCAGTCCTCAACTGTTCTGAGAAAAATGATGACAGTTTGTGCCAAGAACTGTGAAAATGGCCGTGTTCCAGCCTGGCCATCCTATTGGCTCTAGCTGTGTGCACAGGAGTCACCAGTGTTTTATGTGCTGTCAAGAAAACAGCATGGACACCACATTCAGTGATGTACCTAACATAATCCTGAAATCGACTGATTGAAGACCCCTCCAGAGATGTCACCAGGCATGGTGGCTGTAATCTCAGCACTTGGGAGGTAGAGGCAAGAGAATCAGTTCAAGAGAGTTTGAGGCCAACCTGAGCTATGTGAGACTCTGTCTCAAAAAACAAACCAACAAAAATAGATTCAGAGATATCGAAATGTGAGGTGTAATCTTAGAATTAGTCAAATTGTTCCCAACCGTGCTTACAATGAGAAACAGGGTACAGTAAGACCATTGAACTCCTTGGAAAGTTTCCTGGCCTCTGGTAAAGCAGTCTGCTGTGTATAACTAGTGGAATAAAGTAAGACATAAAATTGTCTGCAGCCTTTGGTTCTAATGGAAGGGATGTAAAAGGATGGGCGCTGTGAGGGTGAGAGGCGGGTGACGGTGAGAGGCGGGTGACTGGGTGTATCGGGAATGCTGGCTGGGGTTGCTTGTGTTTTCAAACTAGCAACACAGAGCATTAGATGCAAGCAAAGGTTTGCTCTGAGGGCAAGTGGCTGCAGCTGCAGCTGGGGTCCAGATGAGTCTTGGGGTCTAGAAGAAGCTGGGCAGATACAGGGACAAGTTAGAAGGTACAGGGCTTATCACCAGCCCATAGCCAGCCCAGAGCACAAGCAGGCCCAGCAGGGGATGTGGACACAGGACTGCAGAGCTAAGTCAGGCACATCTTGAGAAACTGGGCTGGGGTGGGGAGGTGCTGCCACCACACAGGGGCTGCCCCCACTGTTGGGGAGCTGGCCAGGACCCCTTGTAACAGACTGGTCTCTTCTTGGTAAGATAGCATGCTTCTTCCATGGCTGAGTCTTGTCTAGTGCACTACGTTTTGGAAAGTTTGCTGGTGTGGTTTGCTTTTATAGTCTTTCAGTTGTCCAGCCCTCCTGGGTTTTAAAGAAATTTTCTTTCTTTCTTTCTTTCTTTCTTTCTTTCTTTCTTTCTTTCTTTCTTCTCTCTTTCTTCTGTTAAGTGATTTCTAAAATATTTTATTTATGGGCTGTAGAGATGGCTCAGTGATTAAGAACTCTTTCTTTCTTTCTTTCTTTCTCTTTCTTTCTTTCTTTCTTTCTTTCTTTCTCTCTCTCTCTCTCCTCTCTCCTTCCTTCCCTCCTTCCTTCCTTTCTCTCTCTCTCCTTCCTTCCTTCCTTCCTTCCTTCCTTTCTTTCATTCTTTCTTTCTCTCTCTCTGTGTGTGTGTCTCTCTCTCTGTCTCTCTCTCTGTTCCTCCCCCCCTCCCTCCATCCATCCCTTTCTTTCTCTGTGTGCATGCGCATTGATGTACACATGTCATGGTGTGCATGTGGAAGTCAAAAGGCAACTTGTGGGAGTCAGTTCTCTCCTTCCACCATGTGGGTCCTGGGGATTGAGCTCAGGTAGTTAGACTTGGCAGCAGGTACCTTTATCTGCTGAGCCATTTTGCTGGTCCCTAGCCCTCCTAGTTTTGAGAACACTGGTATACTGAGGGAGGAGTAGTGACCGTTCAGCACTGCAGGACCTGATTCACAGTTGCCAGTTCTGTCAAGATGGGCTCAGCCACCCATCAGTAGAAACTGCCCCTCTTGGAACCCCTCTCTCCCTCTTCCCTTCCCTGCCCCCTAGTTTTCCCTTCTGTGAAATGGAAGCTTTAACACTAGCCTACAGAGGCATGGTGAGGATTATACCTTATCATGCATGGCATTAGCAGGGTGCCTGGTGACAGCTGCCACTTATAGCACAAGTGGTGACTCTATGATAAGGGCAGGTGGTGGCTGTGGCCCATCTTCTGGCCTTATTCCACAATGCAGATGAATACATGTATCCAGTTCACCTAGGGGGCCTGGGAGCCTGGTGTGCAGAGCCAGGGGTGGGGTACCTCTTGGCACACTGGGCTGTGGCTAGTATCTGGCTTACAACCTCACTCCATTGACAGACACCACACCAAGGCAGATGGATTCTTGAGCAGTGTGTCTGTCACAAAAGTTTGGAAGAACTCTTGAAAGCTGCTAGGTGAAGTTGGGTGAGGCCCAGTGGTCAGGGCTCACCTTGCATGTGTAAGGCCCTGGGTTCTATCCCAGCACTGTAAAAAAGTTTCCCAGTCATTCCAACATGCAGCTGAGGCTCAGAGCCACTGACTGGGTTGAGCATGGCCCCCCTCTGTGGAACTGTCTGTGGTGCTAGGGAGACACAGCAGCACTGTCACCAGTACCCTGGGAGCTCCCTTCCCTGGTAACAGACCTCCACTCAAGTAAAGATGAATCCTTGGCCATGAGCAGAAAAGAATTTCAGAACGAGCCAGAGTGAAATAAAGGCAATGAGTTTATTAAGTATTTAGACAGACATAGAAGGACAGACACAATCCCAAGGCACGGAAGCCAGCTCCTCAAAACATCACGTGTCAGTGTTATAGTGACTATATATACAATCCGGGGACTTTCTGAGTGACAGTATTCAAAGGATGTAATTTATAACAAGGTTTAAAGATTAAGCAAAGCTTAAAATTAAATAAGGTTTAAACATTAAGTAGGGATGCATGAACTGGTTTATATCTACTTACCTAAAATAATCACTTTTGCAAGTAGTATGGTTTCATATAGTCTGGTGTGGTTACCCACATCTTTAATCCCAGCACTCAGGAGGAAAAGGCAGGCAAATCTCTGTGAGTTCGAGGCCAGCCTGGTATACATAGTGAGCTACAGGCTAGACAGTGCTACATAGTGAGATTCTGTCTCAAAAAAAAAAAAAATCATGATTTTAGGTTCAGGAATGAGAAAGGTGCCACCAAGGTGAGACTCCAGTTCACACACATTCTGAGCACAATTCAGTTCATTTGCTCTTGATAAACGTCTCTGTGAGTGATTTTTTGTTTGTCATTTATGTTGAAGGTTCTTGACTCAAAGTCAACAAGGCAAATGGATGCCAGGGTGAGGGGCTTCTTTTCCATCTCACATCCCGTTAATGTTTCCTGTCTTTCTCTCCTGCCTCAGATCAAGTCGGAAAGGGGGCCCTAAGGTCTTCCCTCTGTCCACTCCATGGCTGAAGCATCACTGTCATGCTGGCCCTGGGGACTGAGTCCCTCAGTGAGAACATACAGCTTCTAGATGGATGGCTGCACACTTTCTTTCTCTGCTTTTGTAAAACAGCTCAGCATGTGCTACAGACGACATGACTGGTATCCCAGGCTTTGGACCCAACTCCCATTCCCCGAATGTCAT